GGGAGCCCCTTGTTGCAGCCGCCGCGCTCCTAATGACGAATCCAGAGAGCCTGAAGCCAGATCTTTTCACCCTTCCCTCTGAGGAGCATTCTGACTGCACAGGTCAGGGTTCTTTCCCTGTCCAGCACCAGCCCCGTCATTCAGATGCATCATTTATTCTGTGGTGCTCTTTATTCATTGTTGTGTTAGGCAGGGTTCTCCAGAGAAACAGAACCAGGACACTTACGCTCATCTATTTCATATATCTTAGGATAGGTTTACACAGTGAGAAGGAATAGAACAGGTAATCAGTTCACATAGCAGTCAGTACAGGGGGTTCAGTTCCATTCTGGTGGAACAGTGAATAGACTGAAAGTCCTTCAACTCATGTGACTCAAGGTCAAGGAAGCAGACAGCGGAGTCCTCCCTCAGGTGTGGCAAGCAGAGTCTGCCCACAGCGAGCAAACAGCAGGGTGGGTCACCCGGGTGGGATATTGAACGCAAGCCATGCAAGGCGACAGGATCCACCAGCCTCAAGCTCAAGCGATGTGCGCACCAGCAGCGTGGAAATTCGTCTTGAAGGGAACCTCAAGCTCCAGCAACACAATCCACGGGTTGGCTTGACCCACAGGTGGTGTAGCTCACAGGCTGGGGCAGAGAACGAGCTAAAGCAGCAGCACGCTCCAGCACACTCCAATCACCAGAGAGCAAGAGGGAGGAGGGGCGGGCCTTGTAGAGCCCTTTATCTCTTTGCCCTCCAATCAAACTGTGACCTGATTAATCCCTATTGGCCAGGTTGGCACAAGAGTCCACCTTGCATATGAGGCCATTGAAAATACCATGGCCTGGGTCAGGCACGCCTCCATCTTCAAAATGACATCCTTGGACTTCAACGCTTTAAAGAGGTCTTACGCAGCAAGTGGACCCGATGCAATGTCCTCTGATTTCCTGGCTGCTTCTTCCTTGGGCACTGGCTGTGGATCTAGCAAGATGAGATCCTCGACAGGCTCCATCTTTCTCCATTTAACATGATGTTGCCTGTTGGTCCAATTACAAAGATTCTGGTGTTACAAAATCCAGACATGATTTTATAATGGTTTTGTAATGTTGTCATCCACGCAGAAGGTTGCAGCCTTGACCTTTATTCACAAGTGCTTCGAGTCCTCCTCATTTTCAGCAAGCAAGGTGGCATCATATGCATGTCGAAGGTTGTTAATCAGTCTTCCTCTAATTCTGACATCCTGATGAAGCACCGGGAACACTCACTTGTCTGCGACATTTGGACGACAGCTACTTGGCCAACTGTCTGGAAGAGATCCAGATTTGTACCCATTCCAAAGAAAGGTGACCCCACAGAATGCCCGAATTACAGAACAATGTCATTGATATCACATGCTAGAAACATTTTGCTGAAGATCCTCCAGCAAGGATTACAGCAGTGTTTTGACAGGGAGCTGCCAGAAGGTTAGGCCGGATACAGATGAGGATATGGAACAAAGGACATCCTTGCTGACATCAGATGGATCTTGGCTGAAAGCAGAGCAGAGCAGAAAGATGTATACCTGTGTTTCGTGGACGATACAAAGGCATGTATTTGGCTGTGTGGATCATAACAAACTATGGATCAGCCTTGAGCAAAATGAGACTTCCAGAAAACGTCATAGTGCTCATATGGAAACTCTTTTGAGAACAGAAGAGGGGGATACTTCCTGCATGGCTTAAAATCAAGAAACGTGTATGACAGGATTGTATCATCTCACCATATTTACTCAGTCTGAGCAAGTGATCCAGGAAGCTGGATTCTATAAAGAATGCTGCAGCAGGATTGGAGGAAAGCTTAACGACCTGAGCTATGCAGATGACCCCACCTGGCTTCCTGAAATTGAGGAGGACTTGAAGCACGTGCTGATGAAGATCAAGGATTGCAGCCTTCCGTGTGGATGGCAATTCTAGGAATTTACCGGAAGACAATTCTGACTGGTTGACATTTGCAAAATTGTACAATGCAAGGCCCTTAAACATTATTTTGCTGGTCACAAAGTTGGAGCCATTTAACAGCTTGTTCTATGCCTACTTGAAGGGCCTGCCGATATTTAATGCTCTTCCCGGGAGCAAGAAGGGAGAGGAGGGTCAGGGTGTGCACAGGCTCCCTAAAGTAGGCTGGCTAGCTGGTGATTGAAAGTCAGCTCAGATCTGAATGCTTTCTACCCCACCCCCTGCCCCGCCCAACCATGACCCAGCTCTACTGGCTTGACCGGAGTACACACATTAGTACAGATAAGCACTCTGGACACTTGGAACTCAGGACAAATAACCCCCTCAGGAACAGTAGTGGGAGCAGCGATATCATGAGGGGTGGGCGATAGTGGGGGTGGGGAAGGGGGAGAAAGGGGGAACCCACCACAAGGTTGGGGATATAGCCCACTCCCCAGGGGGATGAATAACAGACATGTGGGTGAAGGGAGACAACTGACAGTTTAAGACTTGAAATAACAATAATAATATATGATTGAGGATTCATGAGGGCGGGGTGGGGTAGGGAGGGGAAAAGGGATGATGGTCTACGTTTCAATACAGTATTTTGAAAGTCAAATTTTAAGTGTAAAGAAGTTTTACATGAATACAAACAAATCAAGAAAGGGGGGGAGGAATCCTTAGTATATTTGGAATAGAATGTTGTCATTCGAATAAAAACAAATGCACTGCCATCAAGTCAATTCCAACTCAGTAACTTTTTAGGACAGGGCACAATTGCCCGTGTGGGTTTCTGAGACTAACTATGGGAACGTTCTAATCAAAGGCCTCGCTAAAAAAGCCACGGCAAACACATTCCACGGTGAGATACTGCCGTTTCCTTCTCAGGAAAATGAGCCATCAGGATGCTGGTGAGATTACACCCTGTGAAAGGGAGGAAACCCCAGAACAACCAGAACTGTTGAGTTCCAGTT